ACCATTAGTATGTTTCCCTTTTGGTAATCTAATTAGAATTGCTATCTTTGGCTATAAGAGTCTTATTTTGAGTGTTAGTTGTGATAGTGAGCAGGGCTCATTAATCAATCAAAACCACATGCTACTAATAATATGTGTGTTTGTGTCTGACTATAACTCCATTGTAGAATACTACATTTGGTCTCTTCTGTTCATGAGACTAATTTCAAAGTCTATTAATGTGGATAACTGTAGCTGTTTTTTATATATGGACTCAGGTAGTATGCATATTTAATCTAAACATGTGTAATACAAAAGGAAAAGTAGAATAGGATCAGTTTTATTTGGTGCATGTATTTTTACATTCTGAACATGAGCTGCTACATTACAACAAAATACTATGATATTCGTTTTTCATTTGATATCTAGTGTATCCTGACCATTTGAATTCCCATCTAAAAATGTAGAAGGATATTTTTAATATTCATGTAATGCTTTGAGAACTGAAGTCTAAATATTTTTAAAACATACTAAATATTTTTTTTACTTTTTAAAAAGTAAAAAAAAATATTTAGTAACTGTGACGGTTTTAAATAATTCATAAAACAAGGAAACTCAATTATGGAACTCCATCCTCAGTACACTTAAGGCATGTCTATACTACAAACTTAAGTTGACCTGCTCATATCCACACTACCCTCCTTCTGTCGGTGTTGTGTGTCCTCACCAGGAGCGCTTCCACCGACTTAAGAGGGGCAGTGTGGGGGGCTGAAAGCCCAGGCTCTCAACTCTGTGCACAGCTCCCCACTGGAAGCCTTGCTCCCCCCACCCTTGCTCTCAGCTCCCCACTCCCTGTCGGGAGCACAGCAGCCCCCAAGACTCTCGTCTCTCTATTCCCCGCTGAGAGCCTGGCTGGGAGCGGCTTTCTTGTCAATTTCACGGCTCCAGCATGGAGCTGTGAAATTGACAAGAATGACAGCCAACAGATGCTGTAAGTTACCTGCAGTGTCAGTGCCATCTGAGTTGAAAATGTTCTCTCTCTTGATGTAGTGGTTACACGGTTTGAGGTTTTACAGTTTTTAGACACTGCATAGCCCTAACTGCACCAACATAATCTCTATACCTCTCATGGAAGTTGAGTTATTTTGTTGGTGTAGTAGGGCACTTACATCGGTAAACTGCCTTATGTTGACCTAACTCTGTATTGTAGACCAGGCCTTAGTTGTACCTGTGTATTAACCTATATATGATACATCGTTTTCAATGCATAGCTCTCCAAAGTGTCTGCAATAGGTACAAATAGAAATGGGGCATCAAGAAGAGTTTCCTCCTAATCTATAAGGCCAACATATTCAAACATGAACACTTAAAATTAGGCAATTAATACATATTTTTATAATCTAAATAAGTGGCCTGGTTTTCAGAGAGATGGAATGTTCACAGTTCCCAAGTTCAAATTGACTTCATTATTAGTTAAAAGTGTGCATGACCTCTAAAAATCAGGCCACTTATTTAGGTCTGTAAATATGGATTTAGGTGCCTAACTTTAGCCATCTGAGTTGAAAATGTTCTCTCTCTTGATGTAGTGGTTACACGGTTTGAGGTTTTACAGTTTTTAGACACTAAGTTACACCCATTTAGGAAAGGTAGGTTCTCTTTCACTTCTCTTTGAAGTATGATTTATTTTATATATTTCAAGCTGCAACTAACTGTGAAGCTTGATGGGGTCTTTTTTTAAACTATAGACTAGAAAGCCTAGACAACAGCTGCTATTCCCTAAATGGTTCCTGGCTGTGAAGAGGTCTCTGTTAAATCATACTCTTATCGATCAGCGAAGATGTGGACTTTATTATTGTTAGCTGTGTTTGTGGAAGGAATCAGACACGGCACTTGCTTTGTGACTGTAGTTAAATCCTCAGCATCTTAATGCAGTATTTTAATGTTAATGTAAGAAGGAAGGCAGTAGATGGAGAATAAAATTAGAAATGTTAAAATGTTTGGATTTTACTGTTGCCAAATTGGTTTATCTGGAACCAATCAAAATGTAATGGTCATCTATGAAAATTCCTGACTATTTCTCACTGTAAATGGGTTGACTTATTGGAGTCTGTATCAGATAAATCTATATTTATGCACTTAAATAAGCAGATTTTGGATGTGTAAGTCCACAACCTTGTTGTAAATCTTTTACCTTGCACAATATTGAAGATATTTCTGGCCATTATGGTAAACCATAATCCTTGGCTCCATGTGTCCATGCAATTAGATTCCGTATGTGAAATTAGCTGCTGAGGCATGTGTGACACTACACCCCATATTCTTCATAGAAATATGCTTATGATATGAATATGGCATAACTAAAACGTATGTTATGCAAGATGGATCATGTGAGAGATCATTGGAAAGATTATGATTTGCTGAATGTGATAATCTTAAGTGTATGCATGTATAATTTCTGCATCTGAAGTTAGGAATATTAACTATGTATCAATTACAAAAGTGTCTGCACCTGGGGAACACCTGCCAGACTACATGCAATCAGTCTGGCTGGCTAGTTAATGAACCATTAGAGAGAACAATGGGATTTTTGAAATGTTAATCTCCTGAGATTAAGTTTCTTCCTGAGAAACTTCCTGGGATGCTGCTTTGACACTGTAGGGTCATGTGATCATGTCACCTGGTACTGGACCCCATCTTGGCCTCCTAGTATTTTTCCACTAATGGTGGTGGGGATCAAACTTGGAAACAAAGGATTCCCGCCATATGTAAATACTATTTAAGGCAGGGAAGTGAGTTAATCAGGGCTCCTTCTTCATTGAATCCCCACCCGGGATGACGGTGGGGAACATCTAAGAAACAAGGACTGGGGGCGCGGGGAGTGGTGAAGAGCTGAGCCCGGGCTGAAAAAGGTGTCTGGCCTGTGAAAGGAATGCCTAAAACAACATTTAGGGTGAGAAATTACTACTTGTAACCAGTTTCTTTAATGTATTAAACGTAATTTGCGAGTTTGCTTTATTTGCTCAGGAATCTGCTTTGATCTGTTTGCTATTCCTTATAATCACTTAAAATCTATCCTTTGTAGTTAATAAACTTGTTTTGTTTTCTTTAAACCAGTTTGTGCAATTCATAACTGGGGGGCAAAAAGCTGTGAATATTTTCCTCCACATTGAGGGAGGGGGCGATTTTCATGAGCTTACACGGTACAGATTTCTGTGCAGCACAAGACAAGACAATTTTAGGTTTACACTCTGGAGGGGGTGTGCACTTGAGTGCTTGGCAATTCCTGAGCTGAGTCTTCCCATGCAGAGCTGATTTCAGTGTCTGTGTCTTTCTGCAGCTGGGTGTGTCCCTACCTGTGTGTGTGCTGGAGGAGGCTTGAGGGCCTGGCTCAGCAGGATAGGCTGAGGGATTCCAGGCTTGTGGCTCAGTGATACCCCAGTGTATCAAATGGCACCCCGGGGGATGAGGGGAGGGGGAGAAATCCATCACAGCATGGTAGGCCAAATTTACGCCAGGAACAAATTTTATATCTAATTTATAAATGCCTTATTTTTTAAACAAACCTAAAGTTGGATAACTTAATATCTGCAACACAGGGTGATGATTTTAATAAAATTAGACTGGCTTTGGACTTGCAGGCCAGAAATTGTGTACACTGTAGGCTAAGCATTAGCTCTCTTGGCAAGAAAATTAAATTAAATCACATTACACTTAATTACACTAAGCTGCAATATTTTAGGATAAAACCTCTTCATTGGATTAGACATTCACCTTTTCTGAAAATGTCATAACCTTCTTGCTGGCCACCACACTGATGCTTGCTTGCCGTTTAATTATATGTTGCATCAATTATTTGAATTATCATCATATTCTGACTTAAATGCATTTTATATAGATTTGTGTATTGCTCCGGTGTGGTCCTGAAGTTACTGAAAACTTAGTACTTAGTAGCTCTGACAATCAGGATATTTATTTAGGTGCCTAAATATGGACTTAAGTTTAACTTCATGCAACCAAGTTTGAAAATGTCTGCCTCAGTGTTTCATGTTAGAAAGATGTAAAAAATTAAATTAAAAGTGTACAGTTACATGTATAGTCATAAGCCACCTGCAAAATGATGATGTATAGCAGCAAACAGTTAACAAAGTTTGTTTAGCATGTATATTTCCATCAGAATATTTGTGGAGATTGTTGTGCTGTGTATGCGTGTAGATGCACACCTATGGTAAAGTTTCAAGAAAAGGCAGACTGTGTGTCTCTATACATCATTCAAAATGTTCACTCTTTGAAGGATTCACTCACTTTGTTAGATTTATTGCTTTTGCCTTTTGAAGGATGGGAATAGGAACCATTGTACATTGAAAATTGCAGTAAGCTAACAGAAAAAGAATACTACCTTTACTACTGTACATGTTTAGGACCAAATCTGTGGCAAAATTACAGTAATTGCTTTGAAAATAGGAAGTATTAGAACTTTGTTTTATATATATTATGTATATTTCTGCCTTGTTCCATGGAACATATTACTGTGGATTAAGAACCATCTATTTATACTTTTTAAGCTATTTTGGCTTTAAAGACTAATGTGTGTTGATACAACATTGGACAAAGTCATCTTTGCCTAAGTGCCATAGGGGTTTGGGGGGGTCCCTAATATACTCAATGGAATTTCTTTATCTCACTCCCAAGTGCCATGGTCACCTCTGATCAGGATGCATAGTGAATCCGCAGGAGGTAGGTCAGGGAAAAAAGTCTTGGCAGGTGAGCTATGAACTCAAGCATCTTCCACAGTGGGGGACCATTATTAGGAAGTCAGTTTTTGCCTGGATCAGTCCCAAGGAATGTAGGTAACTACACTACAGATACAGCATTTGTGAGAAAATGAAATGTATATCACAACTTATGCTATTTTTTCAAAAAATACAAGGAAATGTATATGTGTCTACATTATACTGATTTAGGAAGAGTGTAGAGTTCTCATTGATGTGGACAATTCTTTTCTTTTTATTAAAATCTTATAGGTATTCCAGCAGAGACTGCTTTGAAGGATGACTTCACTGAACAACCAACAAATATAGATGTCACAAACAGAGATGAAGATGTCTGGGTTTTGGGTTGCAGGTTGGGACAATCTGTGCCATTTGCAGATTATAATGAGCGAGAAAGAGTCGACAGAAATATATTGCACCTGAGGCTGGACCTGAATGTAAGTAGTTCTCTGAAAGACAGGGTAGATGCATACTGGGTTTTGACCAACAGGCACTTATTGAGCGCATTAGTTTTCTATTACAAATAGGTTCCAAATTATCTAAAGCAAGCTTTGTATTTTAGGCTGGAGTATAGACTTCCAGTTAGCTGCAAGTCCATTGAGTTTTCAGGAAGTGCAAATTCTGTAGTTACATCCAAGGGAGGAGGGGAAGACAGGGAGATAGCATGTGCATATGCTAGGTTGAAATATATAACAAAATTATGGTAATTTTTTGTTAAACCTTTTCTAGCAACTATTCATTACTGATTCAGTACGTGGTAATGCCTGAAACAAAACAATGTGTAACAGTGACATCTATTGGCAGAGATACTAGAATTGACTTAGAATAATTCAGACTACTGTATCACTGAACTTGAGCTCATCTGGTATTTTATCTTTGAGCTGTATTTAATTGTAGCTTCTTGTCCATGTCACCCTTACCTTATTTGTTAAAATAACTATTTTGACTGTTGATGTGCTATTGTGATAGTGCATACGTAAATTACGTCTCACTAGCATTTTTGGAATATTCTTTAGATAATTTCTTGTAATGAAAAACAACTGGGATGGAATGGATTGGTTTTGGTCCTTGTCTGCTTCTACTGCTGCAAATGGATGCTGCAACAAGTCAATCCATGGTTCAAAAATTGCATATGCATATAAAGCCTTCATATACAGTAGGGGATGTTTCAAATTAAAATTAATTGACCACAATAATTTGAATTAATATGGGAGATCTGACATTAATAAAGTAGTTTGTTTCCGTCTTTCCTTAATCTTGCATGGTCTTTTTTGTTAAAAAACAAACAAATTTCTCTCTTTAGAGAGCTAGTTAGCCACTCTATAAAGGTTTGATTTCCCTCTGTTGCTGTCAAGGAAAAAATAAGTGTTCGTTTAACTACTTCCAAAAGACTCTCAATCTAAGTGCTTATCCCCTAAAGTGTGGTGATGGTCACCATAGTGAACATGTCAAAACAGCACCTTTTTTACACAACAGATCCAGTCCCTGTGTGCAGTGCAAGTCTTACATGCTTAAGTTACTGAATAAATATGTTTTTTTTATTCTGTTAGTCCTCATCAGGCAAAATAGCTATGGGAAAGTGAGATGGATTCTGCTCTGTCTTGAGCATCAAAAGCAAAATGGATTAATCTTAATTCAAATGCAAAATCTTTATTTGTTTTGATGAATGAGAAGATCTCATCTTTACCTTCAGATCACAGTTTGAGTCTGCAGGGTTTTCAAAATGATTAAACATGGAACTCCACCCTGCCATTTATTCAGTATCATATGTCAGAGTAAAAAGACACTTAAAACAAGGTGCCAACTTAATATATATATATATATATTATATATATATAAAGAGAGAGATGTATCTCCTAGAACTTGAAGGGACCCTGAAAAGTCATTGAGTCCAGCCCCCTGCCTTCACTAGCAGGACCGCGTACTGATTTTGCCCCAGATCCCTAAGTGGCCCCTCAAGGATTGAATTCACAACCCTGGGTTTAGTAGGCCAATGCTCAAACCACTGACCTATCCCTCCCCTTGTACATTACTGGTAAGAAATACTTCTCAGTGCATTACTTATGCCTCTCAGAGGGCATTGCTCTTATTTCCATTACACTTCTCTTTGTAGGGACTCAATTTCATAGTGTTTTTTTTTTTTAAGTCTATAAAGAATAGAAGCATGGAAATGTATGGCTGAAAGGGACCTCGAGCAGCCATCATGTCCAGCCCACTGTGCTGAGGCAGGACCAAGTAAACCTAAAACATCCCAGGCAGGTGTTTGTCCAACCTGTTCATAAAAACCTCTAGAGTTGTGGATTCCACAACCTCCTTTAGAAGCCTGGAGTTCTTAACTATCCTTATAATTAGAAAGGTTTCCTAATAATTAACCTAAATCTCCCTTGCTGTAGATAAAGCCCATTACTTCTTGCTCTTCCTTCAGTGTACGTGGAGAACAATTGATCACAGTCCTCAATATAACATATTTGAGCACTGCTATCATGTCCCCCCTCAATCTTCTTTTCTCAAGACTAAACATTCCCAGTTTTTAAAAATTTCCTCATAAGTCTGGCTTTCTAACCCTTTTCTCACTTTTGTTGCTCTCCTTTGGACTCCCTCCAATATGTCCACATCTTTCCTAAAGTGTGGCTCCCAGAACTGAACAAAGTACTCCAACTGAGGGCTCAACAGTACTGAGTAGAGCAGGACAATTACCTTCCGTGTTATACATACAACACGCCTGTCAACACCCAGAATAATATTCCCTTTTTTTTTAAGCTGCATCACATTGTTGACATATTCAATTTGTGATCCACTATAATCCCCAAATCCTATTCAGCAGTACTACCACCTACCCAGCTAGTGTCCATTTTGCAGTTGTGCGTTTTATTTTTCCTTCCTAAATGAAGTACTTTGCATTTAACTTTATTGAATTTCATCTTGTTGAATTCAGAACAATTTTCCAATTTGTCAAGGTCATTTTGAATTCTAATCCTGTCCTTCAAAATGCTTGCAACTTCTTTCTGGTTGGTTTCATCTGTAAGTTTTATAAGCCTACTTTCCACTCCAACATCCATGTCATTAATGAAAATATTGAACAGAATATTGACTAACCCCTGTAAGCCCCCACTAGATCAATGGAACAGCAATCCATTGATATCTATCCTTTAGGTATGGTCTTTCAACCAGTTTGGACACCCACCTTATAGTAATTTCATCTAGACCACACTTCCTTGCTTATGAGAATGTCATGTGGGACTGTATCAAAATCCTTACTAAAATCAAGATATATCACGTCTACAGCTTCCCCCATCCAGTACTCCAGTAACCCTATCAAAGAAGGAAATTAAATTTTCTTCCCATGGGACCCTACCTACCCGTTCTGAGTTAATCTTCCTTCCATCGTCCTTATTCTGCTGCTTTTGCCCTTTCCTTTCCTCAGAATCATAAAGTCATCATTCCATGATCACTTGCACCCAAATTGTCTTCCACCTTTCACCAGATTTGCTACCAATTGTTCCCCGTTGGTCAGAATCAAACCTAAAGTGGTTGTCCTCCTGGTGGCTACTTCACTTTCTGAAACATTAGCACTTGCATAATAGCTCATAAGTATAGCTCACTAATCAGTGGGAGCTGAGGTCACTCACAGCTCTAAAATCCTTTGTATAAACCTAATTATTCTTGGTAAGCACCTTATACATTATGGGTGCTTTGTTCCAATAATGAATTGCCTTTTTTTAATGCATCCCCTATATAAATGTAAGTGTTAATCAGACTGCTGGTTAGCTTTGTATTGACTTCTGAAGAAAAAAACATTCAGGAACTTTACTGCCCCATTATATGTGTTTCTTTTTCCTCTTTTAAGTGAAAGATAAATGTTAATAGCTAGAGTGTTCACAAGTAAGCACTTCTTGAATACAGTGACATGCATAGAACTATGCTCGTTCATTTTTTAAGGTTTTTTTTTTAAACTGTCAGTTGATATTACAGATGGGGAGCAGTTGCAAGTGAAGGACAGTTCTAATGAAAAAGATGAGACTGCAATGAGTGCAAAAAAACAAGGTAGTTTAGAAAGAGTGAGATAGTATTAAGGGAAGAAGGACTTAAAAAAAGGAAAACATGAAGGCTGTACAGCAAATGCATCTTGGTTCTCTGGTGTTGGCTAAAGAACTAAAGAACACCCAAGTGCTAGAGTTTTGTGGCTTTAATACTTATGGGTTCTACTGACATAAGCCACAAGAGATGATACCAGTCATCTGTTCTTTCCCCTTTGCTCATTTTATGCTTGCATGTCTATACATTTTTACTACAAGAGAGGCCAATAAATCGTTCCTTAAAAATCGTACTCTTTGAGCTACTAACAGTTTTTCATATGGTGAGACTCTAGCTTAACCCCTATATACATTTAATTGATAAATTATGTCATCCTCAAAGTAATAAATTATGTCTGACCCAACTCTCTTGTCTATGGAAAACTCCTGTATATCTATTATGATTTAAAAAAACAAACAAACAAAAAACTAGGGGCTAAAAGAGCTATTCTCTCAATCCACACTAAGAGCAGGTCTAAGTATTTTGGGGTAGGCCTGCAAAAATATATTGCACCCCCAACTCTCAAAACCCCAAAGCTCCTGGCTTCTATCCACTCTGTTAATAAAATACAGGAATGGGAGAAGTGACAGTGTTGTAATTTTTGCTTGCCGCAAACAATGGCCTCGCCTTATATCACATGGTGCTAAAGGTGATCTTCCAGCCTCCTGAACTGCAGAAAAGGTGCTTGTGTTTGTGCTTGTGCTGGGAAGACAATTACTGAATTAAGCCACAAGTCTAAGATTTCCATTTCCTTCTGTCTGCTGCTGTGTATTCTAGGAAATTTGGGGTTATTTTTCCCCCTTACATCCAATTATATAGTCCAGAGTAACCAATAATATTAATATAATTTAGCATTTAAAATAGCCTGTCCAGAGACTAGCTGCAATATGAAGTAAAATAGAACAAAGGACAAATTTTATTACTTTACTGACCTAGAAAATGTCTCTTCTTCCCCGCTCTTCCATTTCTTTATTTTTTCCTTTCATGTCTGACCCATTCAGTTTACCTCTTCACCATTTTTTCAAATTTATCTGGTTGAGGTTGTTTTTTTGAAGAGCAGCATCTTCTTTTCTTTCACTCTCTTACATTAATCACCGTCTTACTCTCTCCTATGTTATCACATCCTTCTTGGTTCCATTCTTACTGTTCTTTCACTCTTTTCCCCATTGAACTAATTTACTCCCTTTTTCTTATATTATGATTTATTTGTATTGTGGGAGCATTTAGAGGTTCCAACTAAGATAGGGCTCTAGAGTGCTAGGTAGAATAAGAAAAATTCCCTGCCCTGGAGAGTTTACAGTCTAAAAAGACAAGACCAACAAAAGGTGGGAGAGGGAAGAAAGGCACATAGAGAGGAAATGAA